CAGGTTGCTAGGCTTGCTTAGACATACAACCTTTTAAAACATAATATAAAGCAAGCACATGTATTTCTTTGTGTACCAAATTCAAAGGTTTAATACAGTCAGATCATAGAATTGTTTGGGTTGGAAAAGACCTTTTAAGATCACTGAATCCAACCATTAACTTAGCACTGCCAAGCCCACCACTGATCTATAGCTTTTTCCTCCATCTCCCTAAAAATCTAGAGACTACTTAAGCAGAGCACAGCTTTGTTACAAATATTATGCAGAACTAGTAATCATCAGATTATGAGAGTGCTCACTGTGCTACCTAGACTTTAAATAGAGTAGCTCCTCTTTGGACTGGATTTGCTACAATGGACTGGATTTGATACAATGAAATTATTCTGTTAAAAAAAAAAAAAAAAAATACAGTTCTGCACAGAGAAGCTCTTCTAATGTTATGGACAAACAAACAAACAAACAAACAAACTAGAAAAACCGAGTGAGGAGGGAGCTACTGAGCTTAATTTCCAGTAATTAAGAGTTATGAAGGAAGTAGGTAGGTGAAAGCACTACTAAAAATTTGAAAGTACTTTCATTTTAAAGCTGATAGTATCTCACAGCAACACATGAATCCAAATTACGTCTGAAAACTTGAACAGCATTGTTCAGAAGGACCACTATTCTTCTTATGTTATACTGCAAAATTCTTAATATCATCAAACTCCTATCACTCAATAAGTTTCATTTAACTATTTCAGGAAAACAGGAAGGAGTTATGCCTGACTTGTGAGTTGTGATGCAGGCAGAGTATAAATGCTCTGTGATTAATGTAAAGCAATAATTCCTTAGGAATTCCACAGGATGCATCAGCCCAGTATATAATAAGAAAGCATAAGCAAATGATGCTTAAGAATAAGAAGATAAGCAATCTGAAACAGGTTTAAACTAATATTAAGCTCTTCTCTTAACAATTAAAAAGATAAATATTTCAAAGGCAGACTGAACTCTTATTCTGAATCACATCCAAGATCTAACAATGTAAAAGAGCATCTCCCTACTCCCTTCTGCTCAGATATCCTATTGATGTTTTAAAGATGACATTGAGTAAACCCCTGAATTTTAATTGAGCAGCTCAGTGCAGAACTAAAGGATCTTTTCACCTGTCCATCCAGATTCATATGCACCATTTTCCTTCACAAAAACAGAGCATACTGAAGAGGATTATCTCAAAAGCAAAATGTCAAGAAGGGTTCTCTTTTGCTCATGGAGCAGCTGAAAAGTACATAACCTTTCCTTCAATATCAAGGTGAAATCCTTGGAAGGAATAATTTGATTTGCACTAAAACACTTGTGATTAGTTGAAACACCTGTGTTGCTCAAGCTAGTATATAATCCCACAAATATTTTAGTTTCACTGTTATATTTAATACCTCCAAGAACAAATACAGGTGGTTTTACTATTACAAACAAGGAGACAAAATAGAAAGTTAATGATGCAGCACTTTGCACCTTTGTGCAACTGCCTCAACGGACTGGGAAGGAGAGCTCCCTGCCTTTCTTCAGGTGTCCTCCTCGACAGAAGGTTTCCCAAAGCCACGACTCAAACAGACCATTTCTGTGTCTTTAATTTCACAGTCTTAATCATCCATTCAGAGCCTCCTTGTTAAAAGTATAAGTGCCATGGTCAAGGACACACTTTCAGAATACATATCCATCCTTGGCTACATCCTCAGACTGATTTTTGAAGCTGTCACTTTGCACCTTTCTCAACTCTATCAACTTGTCAATGAAAAAAGGGCTCTGAGGAAAGATTCAAATGTAAAAATTCTCTGCCACAGCCCAATGAATAAATGTCTCAGGAGGTTCCCCCACAACTATCATCATTTCATTTCCACACATTCCTTATAATCCACTCTGCTGAACAGCCACATCCTGATGTCCTTTGATCACAGATACAAAAACAATTAAAATGAAGGATGAAACTCCAGGGGAATCAGAGAATGAACATAAACCTGGAAGTTATTTCTTAAGCCTGACAAGAAAACACAAGTCTTTTTTTGTAGTCTAGTTGGTTTCAGTGACATTTACCACATGGATGGAATGCCATTGTGGCAGCAAAGGAACCACTGGTGTCCCTTTAATACACGAAGACATTTGCCACATGGTTTACACCAAAGGCCAAGAGCTCCTTCTGACTTTGAATTATTCTTGCTTCTACTACCATACTCTCTTAGAGCATACAAAAACCCCTGACATAACTTATCTAAAATGTTCTCTCACTCTTAGCATGCAGATGCAGCCTAGTGACATGCTCAGATTTAATGCTGTGCCAGAAGGAGACACATGAAGACAAGCACATTATTTGTGTAGACAGCTTTCCTGCTCCCAACATCTACAATAAGGGTATATATTTAAACTAGCTTCAAGTTTCCTTAGCATAATGACTTACATAAACAATTGCTCAGTTTCATCTTTATATTTTAAAACAGCCATGGAAATGTGTTTAAAACATCCATTTGACCTGTCTCAGCAACTCTAAGGTAAGAAGGCATTAACCTAGGAAAACACAGTGAAATTAACTGTTTGTCCTAAGTGTGTCCAAGATGAAAAACTGTGATCAGGTCCGTCCAACGAGATTATCTGAATCTCTCATTGTGTGTTCTACTCTATTTCCCAGTGTCCTTTAAACACTAAGCAGTGTGTGAGCACACAGGATCTAGTCTTCCTCAGCAAGGCGCAGCTCCTATCTGTAACAGTCATCAGAGATATCACAACCTCTGACTTAACACTTTCTCATTTTTAGAGCCTTACACAACAACAGTTACAACAGAACCCTAAATAACAAACACACAGCCACAGTTGACTGTTACCCACACAGTTGAACAATGCAAGAAAATCATTTCCCTGACCCTACAGAGGGATCCTCGCCTGCTGGCTGCAGAGAACATGGCACTGCTCCTGCCCCAGGCCTTGGAAACCACAAGGAGGAAACAGCATGGGCTTTCAGATAAGCAAGACAGCATTACAGACAGTGTCACTTGCCTAAAGGGCTCTGCCTACAAGTGACAGTGCCCTGCCTTCCTAATTTAATTTTCTCTTTGACTAAGATAGAAAGATGATAAGCAGAAACTTGAAGCAAAGGAACCACCCTTCTGTTCTGGACAGCCTCACCACGTAAAGCTGTATTTTAAAAGCTGTACGCTGCCATCAAAATTTTACATTTTTATTTGAAAACATTTAACTTCATAGGATCCTTCCAGATGTAGTTGCAACATTCACCAGGAAAATTTTACACTTACTTCCCTAAAGAAGATACTTCAAACCCAAAAACTAGGTAAACTGATCACTGAATAGCAAAGGTGCATTCAAAGACATTAACAGTTCTCGTGGAGTGGGGTTTTGTTTCGGTTGGGTTTTTTGGTGTTTTTTGTGTTTAAGTTCCTTTTTTTTAAAGGAAAATGTTATATACAAAGATATTGCATATTTTAAAAAGTTACATCCAATTGCTTACTTCAATTTTTCTAATCTGGAGGTAATTTTAAAATAATACATTCTGCAAGAAACTATAACCTTTTTATATTTAGAGATGTTTGAAGACATTGCTGACTTGGTTGCAGAACAAAAAAAATCACTGGTAATTTCCATAAATCTGTGCTCATACTTGAACATGCCATTAACTTCAACTCAGTCACCACCACTGTCCACCTCTTTCTTTACCCTTCACCTTTCATCTTTTCTTCTTCATGTCCTGAACAGAATTTCTCTCTCAGTAGAAAAAATAAAGATCCAAACAGACAGTAATTGCAAACTGTTTTCTAATTCATTCTGACTGCACATTTCACTCTTGTCCTCTCACATATTCCATGTCTTGTTTAGGTTGTCTATTTTCAAGAACTGAAGGTATGTTTTACTTTTTAAAGTAGCCAGTCTAAAAGGGCTGCAAAAAAACCAGCTGGTGTCTCAATGCTTCCTTAATAAAAACAATTATTTGTTCTATAGCTTAATTTCTTCCTGTTTCTCTAAAACTGTTAACCAGAGAACAGACATTAGGAGCACACTTCATTCACAAGGTGACACCCAGTAATTGGTCTAAAAGAGGATCCTCTATCAATAAAAGTCAGAAACCTTTACTCCCGTTATAGGTCAAGGGCACAAGACCTCAAATCGAGGGCACTGAAAGTTTAGGAAAAGCACGTTTTTTCTCACCTTTCCCTTCCCCTTAAGCTACTTTCTAATACCAAAAGAGTATGCAGTGATTTCAGGTCCAAAATTCTGGGTGTGCCAAGTACCACCATTCACAAACATTTTAAATAACTTTTTGCGCTGAAGCTCAATTACAGCCCAAATGACAAACGCTCTGCATAGCACAACACACACAGTACGTTCTGACAGAATAAAAATGGAAGTACCGTAAGCGGCGTTTCATTCAGCTCAGGTTAAATATCTTCTCTATCTTAGAGAGTGACAGCATAAAGAGGAACATACAGGTGGCTTTGAATTTTAACACGTCGCGAAATAGCGAAAGTTATTTCGCTGCTTTATAATAACCACTTCAAACGCTCAACAGCGGCAATAAACAACCCCAGCTTCAGGGGGAAAAAAAAAACCCACAAACACCGCACTCGTCCACAACGATTTAAAGACAGAAACGCAAGAATAAGTACAGAAGAGGTTGCACAATAACACATGATCTTCCCTATCACATGCTTGGCAGCGTGCTCGCTCCCCGGCGGTCCCCGGTCAGACCCCGGGGCTGCTCGGCCGCCCGGGGCAGACCCGGACACCCCGGGAAGGGCTCCGGCCGGAGGGTCGGGGCTCGCCGGGGCTCGGCCGGCGGCCCCGCGGGGCCCGGGTGGCGGCGGAGCCGCTCCCCCATTCAATCCCCGCCGCCCTCCGGCTGTGCCCGGGCGGCGGAGGCCGGGGCAAGGCACCGAGCGGGGCGGGGAGGCGGCCGCCGGCCCTGGGGCTGCATCCCCCGGGCGCGACCCCGCGATCCCCCGGGCGGCGCCCGCACTTACGCTCGAAGTCGGAGTCCGAGTCCTCGTCGCCGCGCTCGGGCTCCTCGTCGCCGTTGGACTCGGTCTGCATGGGCTCCCCGTCGAAGCTGACCACCCTGCGGCCGCCGCCCGCCTCCTGGTCGCGGGCATCCCGCAGGCGGGCGAAGTACTCGGCGGCGAAGCCCAGCAGGTCGGACGGCCGGTGCCGCAGCACCTCCACCGTGTAGCCCTGCAGCAGCTCGGTGAGGCCCGGCGGGATCTCGATGCTCATGGTGCCGGGCGCCCGGGGGGCCGGCTGGCCGCCCTGCCCTGCCCGGTGGGCGGTGTGTGCGGGCTCGGGGCCTCCGCGGCGGGCGCGGACCGAGTCCCCCCGCTCCGGACACACGAGCGCGCGGCGCGGGCGGGAGGGGCGGGCCGGGAGCGGCCCCGCGGCGCAGGCGCGGAGCGGGCGCGGGAGCGGGCGCGGGGCAGCGGCCGCGCGTGCGCGACGGGCGGGGGGGGGGCGCGTGCGTCACCGGGAGCGGCCCCGGGACCGGGAATGGGAATGGGAATGGGAACCGGGAGCGGGGAACGGGCACGGGGGTGGGACCCGGGCACGGCGCTGGCACCGTGTGCAGACGGTTCAGCTCTTTGGAAAACGCATCTGCCCCCGCCGTTAAGCTTCCCCCCCCGGGATTCGGGCTGGGTTTGTGCCGTGTTGGGAAACGTTTGGATCAAAGCTGGCGGCGGGATGTGGGAAGGGGGGCAGGTCGGCTCGGTGACCGGGCAGACAGGCCCCGGCCGTCGCTGCCTCCTCGCTATTTTTCTCTTGTTTCACATCGGTGACCCCGTACTCTCACTTCTTGTCAGGATCACAGAATCAATTAGGTTGGAAAAGACCTCTGAGATCATCGAGTCCAACCTCAAACACCACCATGTCAGCCAGCCCGTGGCACTGACTGCCACTCTTGTCTTAAACACCTACGGGGACGGTGACTCCAACACCTCCCTGGGCAGCCTGTTCCAATGTCTCATCACCCTTTCCGTGAAGAACTTCTTCCTAATGTCCTACCTAAACATGCGCTGGCACAGCCTGAGGCCATGTCCTCTCATCCTGTTGCAAGTTGCCTGGGAGAAAAGGCCAAGCCCCACCTGCCCACAGCCTCCTTTCATGGAGTTGTGCAGAGTGATTAAGGTCTCCCCTGAGCCTCCTTTTCTCCAGGCTGAACACCCTGAGCTCCCTCAGCTGCTCCTTGTAGGACCTGTGCTCCAGACCCTTCCCCAGCTCCCTTGCCCTTCTCTGGAGTCACTCCAGCACCTCAATGTCCTTCTTCAAGTGAGAGGCCCAGAAGCGGACACAGGACTCGAGGAGTGGCCTCACCAGTGCCAAGGACAGAGGTTTTCTTTCCTCAAGGTGCCAGTCAGGGTGTTTCAAAGCTCCCCCAGGAGCAGGAGAAGTTGTTTTTCTTTGACCCTGGTCGGATCTAATCTAAATCTCAGTCTAATTCTTGGTTGCAGTTCGATTTAGGACCTCCCACCCCTCTGGTTTCTTGTCAGAATTAAGTCATTAAAGAACAATTCTTAAAAGAAATGAGTGCAAGAGGAGCAGCATGCAGCTCTTCACACCTGAATAGATCCATAATGACATCGTTTGTGAAATAGTGGCATTAGCTCTGATCTGCTTAATAATAAACCATTAAAGAAGAAGAATTTTCTGAAGAATTTCAGAAAAATGAAACATGGAATCATAGAATGGTTTGGGTTAGAAGGAAACCAAAAGATCATCTGGTTTCATGGGCAGGGACACATTCCACTAATCCAGATTGCTCCAAGCCTGGCCTTGAACACTTCCAGGGATGGGGCATCCAAAGCTTCTCTGGGCAACCTGTGCCAGCACCTCACTACCCTCTCACAATTGGTTATATGTGTGAGCTTTGGAGGTACCCGTTTGTATGTTGTTGGATGTGCTTTATTCACATTTTTGCTTGTGTTCATTGTACAAAGCCTGTTATCTGTGTGTTTGGCAGATTCCCAGGGGAAGGCAACAGGCTGTGTGGCGTGGAGCCATCGGCCCTTAAGGTTTGACGTTGCTGGAAACCTCGTCTTGGAAGAAAACAGCCCTGTACAAACATGAGTCAAGGGGAATACGGATGTTGGCTTAGTGACGCCGCTACGAGTTTCAGTGTAAATATTTCTATTTAATTCTTCTTCTGTTTCAACAATAAAAGAGCTGAAATCAACTTGTGCTCAAAATACAAAATTTCACTTAGAAGCCCAAAATTGGCTGAGGCAGTGTACTGTGTTTTGGTTTTGTTTGCTCATGTGCCAGAGTCCTCTTGATTATCCAGATGGTTCTCACCACACTCCCATACAAAGATATCCTGTTCATGGCTGCTGCATGGAGGGCACAGCAGTGGATCCCAGAACACCCATCCAGTGCTTCTACTTTATTCTCAGCAAGGGGGGCCAGTTGGAAATCTCATGGCATTTAAAAGATGTTCTCTCTAATACAGCTCCCATATTTTTATGTGGAGTAAGATTACATCTTGTATCCGTACAAAATGCACAAATTTTTAAAAAGCACAGGAGGTAGATTTGCCACATCTCACCAGTTTATCCAAATATTTTGTATAAGGCCATTTCCCTTCATTTCTATTCTTTTCTGCAGCAGGAATAACAGTTGCTATATCCTCTTTTTCAAAAGGTAATCAATACTGATTTTTCATTTGCCACTCCTACCATATTATCTGTCTGGTGGTCTCAAACAATATAGGAGCACATTTCACTGTTCAATGTACATTCTTTAACTATTGACAGAACTGATACAGGGAAAAGGTTCTGATGAACAAGAAAACTGTATCTGGTTAGTCTCTTACATTAGCTTTTAGCATTTGTTGGCAATTTTCTCTCATTTGTGCCTGTGGATATAACTGGTTATTTATTTGAGAAAATGTGTTGCCAGTAAATAGTGTTAAGTCTCTGAAGAGCTGCATTGTATTGGCCTTCTGATATTTATATGTCCACACAGAGGTAATCAGCTTCAGAGGAAAGTAAAGAGCAGAGCTGTGTTTAGCCTTCTCTGAAGGTCAAGGGACAAAATCAGAAGCATCCAAGGTCACGTGAAGCGCATTTTCAAGCTGATTTACACCACAGTTTATCCTCTTTCTTTATACACTTTTTTTTGTGTGTGTGAGCATCAGAACTGATGGCACAAATGTGTGAGAAACTTGTCGGCGATCAAGTTAATTGTAACACTGCCTGCTGTGCATACATAGAGCTCATCATACGCTTTCTTTCACCCTGAATTTGCATAACTTTTTTAATTATTACTATAATAAGCATTCACATTAAAAGAATGGTAGAAAATAAATTAGGAAATGCACTTGCAGCCTTAATTTGATCCCCTTTATAATAACGTTTTTAATTCAGGCAGCATGACCAATGCAATTTCTTTCCACTGGCTTCATGGCATGTTCAGCACCCACTATGGAGTTAGATAAGAGTTGTGTAGGTCATGAAGATGGTCCCCACAGTATTCCTATCAAAATATATGTATTTCAGTATCACATTTTCTCCTGATAGTTTCTTAGTGTCTGGAAACTATTCCCATATTTATCACGTGTCTGTGCTCCCAAATACTGAGGTCTCTTCCCTTCACTCTGCCTGCCCTACCCAGTGCTATGTGACTGATGCACCCGTAGTGAAACTGTGATGGAGCTTCAGTGCTTGTCCTGCTGGCAGGAGCAGCCACGTTGCAAGCAAAAAAAAGCCAAATAGTCTGTGTAGTCTTGCACTGGGGAAAAATAATCAGATTAAACCTCCAGACTGGCTCCTTAAAAAGTAAAATAAATCCTTTTGTACCAAGTAATAATTCACTTCTCATAAACCTGTCAGCACCAGCCAGAGCTCAGACACTACATAAACATACGTACATCTTGGATTAATTACCCTTGCCTTCAAATTCCGTACAAGGATAATGCAAGAAAACACTAAATATTCTTATGGTTGGTATTAGTGAACACAATCTCTTGTTTAAGGGGAGTTGGGTTAATTACCTTGGATAGAGCTGTTGTGTGTTGTTGTAGGAGACACGCAAACCCCCTCAAGCTGGACATGTCCTACACCATTACACCACTACAGGCAGGTTCAGAGCTCTCTGCAAACAAGGTGAAATCCTGCCCTTGCCCTTCTGCTTCAGCCTTCTCAAAATTAAGGCCTTACAGTCCTAACAGTCTCTCCTCCAAAAGCAGCTGCTTCATCCCCAGAGTCACATTAAATCCTCCTTTCTGTACCTGCTCAACTTCGCTGTGCCTTTCATGAGCACTGTGTGCAGGTCTGGTCTCCACATCCCAAAATGGGGGCTCATGCTGGTTTTACACAGCTGAAAAATTTTGCTGACTATTTTGTTCTCTGACACTTTTCCTTGGGTTTTTTTTTTTCTTTGGCTGCCACATCATTATGAACTGAAGGTATCCGGTCTTCATTTTAAGACATGAAAAGATTAAAAAATTCCCACTTCCCTTACTTTGTTTCTCCAGTGAATGACCACCTTCATTGTAAAAAACATGTAGAATTTCACATTTTAAGTGTTCTATGTTTGACATTCAAACTTTGTTTTTCTACCCACTGCTTGCTCCTGTCACTGTAAATGTCCATAAACATGATGTAACTTTGTGCACAATGTACACAAACCTTCTGAATTTTTCATTTTACCAAAAGTAGTAGTAACAAAAGACAAAGTGATCCTGGGCTTAGCTAGCCAGGATGCAGAGATCCTTCAACACAGCGAGCAAGATGAAACTGCTTCTCCTGCCTCTCTTTGGTTTTCTTCTTAGGTAAGTGCTAAACCTCAGAAACCAAACCTTGTTTCTCCAACTAGTCAGTTTGCTTGTGACAGTAAGCAAGATTTAGTACATATTTTTGTTAGCCTATAGAGTAGCTTGAGTACTGTATATTTCAATAAATCATGTGGGACTGTCTATCAGTAGTACAAAGACTGGAGAAAAACAATAAGCTTTTTGAAGAAATATATTTAAGTACTTGCATCAGCTGAAATATGTCACCTTGATACTACCTTTAGTCCATCAAAAATATTTTGGATAATTCTTGGAAAGATACTTTGCTGCATTTGTTGATAAATCTCAAAGTACTGATTTGGGAGAAACACCTATATAGATGTCCACATTTTCATTGGCATAATTTAGTTTAAGAACACAGAAAACACCGATTCTGTTGGTAGCAATTACAATTTTTCACGCAGTATAAGACATCAACTTTAAAATACCAGATTTTGTAGAACATTTGCTCTAGTTGTTACCTGGATGTAAAAAGAAATATCTCTGCTGTGTCATACTTATGACGTAAAATGGCACATGTTTCAATCTAGGTAGAAGCAGTATCTGTGACATAAGACGTGTGGGATGACCAGGTTATTTAAACTACCCTGAGCAACACTACGTCGCAGATGCAGAGTTTATGTTCCCACGTCAGAGAAGCCCTGAGCAACCGCAATTTGCTGTGTAAACAGGGGATATTCAAATAAGGACTGAGCTAAGCAGTTGGTTCTCTTGCATACAAAGTGGAAGCCATACCCGTTTGGGTTGTGCTTTAGTTTCTGCCCCCAGCACTGAAAACATTACATGAAGAACTTCTCCACTGAGGTTGGTATGAATTCTGGGCGGAGGGAGCTGGTGGAAACAGACCTTTGTCCATGTCCTGTGGTAGCCAGTCACTCACTGGATAGCCCTGATCCTGCTGGATGGCTCTCTCAGCGGTAGAGTTCATGGACAATGCTATTGAATAAAGGTAAAAGGTTTTTAGATTGTTTTGTTTTAAGAGAAGAAAGAAAATTAACCTCCCTGTGAGTTGTTCAAAGACTAATCTGAATCCAAAATATCAATTACTGTCTGTGTTTTCCAGCAGAACCCGTTCAAACGCTAGTTTGTTGAAGTTAAGGGTTTTGTCACGCCAAGAGCTCTGACATGTATTTCTTCCTTGAGCCTTTGCTTGCGAACCTGGAATTGTGTTTTGCTGTATGTACATACTTGTCCCCTCCCCATCTTCTCACATTTCCACCTGACACAGTTCAGGTCATGAGTGTTTCTCTACTGGATCCCGACCTGCCACTCTCCAGACAGGTATCGCTCTGTCACTGTTGCTACAGCTCCTGTTTTCACATCTTCTGTTGTCACCTTTGTCCATTGCCTGTTATTAAACATTTCTCCCACTTGGCATCTGCCTGTTTGCCATACATCTTCACTAGCTGCTTGTCAGATAACCGTTGCCCTTCCCAGAACTTCGCCTCTGAGGTTTTACTGCAAATCCATAATCTATCTCTCACCCCATCTTGCTTAACTCCCCCAGAGGGGCACCTTCAGCCTCCTTCCAGACTAAGCCTCAATCTCTCCCTCCTCTTGCAGTGCCTGATCCCTCCCTGAGGCAGGAGTAACAGCATCTTTGCCCTTTGGCTCCCTTTATGGGGATCACAAGAAGCCATTAACACATCTTCCTGTCCGTCTCCAGTGTTTGTGTCCTGCCCTTTGGTGCCAGCAGATCCACCCCGTGCACAGAAGTGCTGTACACAAACAAGGGGCAGTACTACAGTATATGAGGGGCTCATTCTACCAGCTCAGCATGTGGTGTTAACTAATTCCAAGTGTTTTAAAATTGTAGTATTAAATGTAAATTTAAACAGCAATAAATGAGCTTTATCCACCAAATCCCCAAATTTTTTATATTTCCCTCTGAAAACCCTTTTATTAGATCTATTACAGCTGTTAGCACTTGTTTTAATTAAACTCATAACGAAGCATGAAGCTCAGTTAACCAGTTTTCAGTTTTCAGAGAAAGAAATTGGTATTGCGTTTTTCTGTCATGCTTCACATCCTGTGCTTTGGGTACATTATAAAAATGTTGACAGAGGATTCTATATCTCAGGGGAGGATAATGAGGACATGAAACTTCTTAATTCTAGGCTGCTTTTCCAATTCAGTTTAGATTCTTAAGTTTTATAAAAGTATTTGGTGTTTGTCTGCAGCTCGGATGTCTTCATTCAAGGAAATGGGTGGTCTCAGCATCTAAACCAGAGGATTATAAGGCCACCTCACCATGTTCAGGTTCCTCTTTGTCAGTCTCAGCAAAAAACTGATTGGTTTATAGAGCTGATAAATGCTTGCTGCCTTAAACTAGGACTTAAATCACATCTGCATCAGAAACTAATTGGATGGGTGTTCCGTGTACA